CTCAGGGTAGGGATGTTCCAGTCCCCTCATCATCCTTGTAGCCCTCCGTTGGACTCTCTCCAGTAGCTCTTCATCTTTCTTGAACTGGGGAGCCCAGAACTGGACACAGTACTCCAGATGGGGCCTCACCAGGGCAGAGTAAAACAGGATCCTTTTATTACATGGTTGTCCTCGTGTATACCTTGTGGTTGAAGCAAGCCAGACCTGCTCCCCTTCCTGTTCTCTGCAGCCTGATTTCCAAAAGATGCGCTGTGCCTTGATGCATTGTTCAGCTAATGTTTGAGTCAGCAGCTCATCTGAGACTCTTGAGTGGGTGAAGTCAATATATGTATATAATCATCTGCACCTGGAAACATCTGAAACAATAACAGAATGTGAGAAAACAGGTGACAAGAAGCTTGATCTTACATTAAAGCTTATAATATCAAGGCCTAAACCTTCCAAATAGCAGGTTGAAATTTGATGTTGTGGTTGATGTGACATCCCAGAAGGGGATGGAGGCGTACCTAGGAGCTTCACCCTCAACCTCAGCAGGTAGCACACAGAGGCACCTGGTGACACAAGGGTGACTGTCCTTGTTTTCGGTTCCTGAACTGTGTCTGCCAGCTAGAAAAGAAAGCTAACAAAGACATCTGGAAAGAACTGAAACTTAGTGGTTTGTTCTGGGTTCTTTTTTGGTGTGAAGGAGATAAAACAATTAACCACTAGAGGGGGCTAAATATTTACAGGATTTACAGATCAGTGGAGAGGCTTCCCGGAAGAATCAGCAGTTACCTTGCAAGCTCACACAAAGTTAAAGAATGTTGAGCATTTTATTTGTTCTACTGTATTTATTGACTAATGAGCAGAAAACTGTACATCTGTAGAAACTCCCTCTAAGGAAAAGCTGCTGTGTAGAATATCTATTAATTAAAAAATAAGCACAACTTTTTCTAAAGACTCATCAATGTGTAAATTAACTAGCATGTATAAAATGCTGCTCTATTATTTATGAAATTAGTACAAGCCTTTTTATTTTACATTATTAAAAAAAACCAAACCAACCCCACCCTGGTATTACTGAGGGAATTATCCTGTACATTAAGGTAGTTAAAGTAGGGTTTTTTGCCTGTTGACATTTCTCTGAAATAGGAGAGGAAAACTGTGACTTTTAAAGTTAAAACAGGTAGGTTATGTGATAAAACATAGACAATGTGTGTAAATAGAGAGTAAATACTATTACTCAAATGGGGAAGAAATACCATGTTACGAGTTTGAAAATGGAATGTGGCATTCCTTTATACATTGATTATTCTGTAGCTAAAGCAGTACAGCATTAACAACTGACTGTGAATTTGTACAATGGTATATAGGGATTGTACTTTCTAATAATAACAGTTTTAAAGAAAAATGATTTGAGGCCATTGCTAGCTGTAGAAAATATACTGGAGGAATCAAGTGTATTAGTAATAATTTTTAGACCAGTGTTTAAAATACATTTATATCATGATTCATTCTGGAAACAAGCATTTTGCATAAATTATTTTCTTCGCTTTCTTCACTCTCCACTAAAATCTGCTTTTTTTTGTGGCTTTTTGGGGGGATGGGACATAAATTGAAACTGTGGAAGAATTTTTCTATTTTCTTCCATCTGGAGATAAGGGAGCTGGAAAAACCCTTTTGTCCTCACCTCAGACACCATTAAGCATATTTACCCCTTCAGACTTGTTTCTAGAACAAGTTCATAAAACTCTTCAATGAGTATATTTTTGTAACTAACGAGTTACAAGATGTAGTTAAATTACGGCTAAAAAAAATTTTTTCTATTAAACCATAATTTACTTACCACTTGTAACTAGCTTGTTCAGTAGCCTAAACAGAAGGGAGCATAAGGAGTTGCTGTCTTTCTGTGGTAGTATTTTAGTCAGTGAGAAACTGTTATGAAGTTAATATCTAGTCATCTTTATTTACCTCAAACAGGTGCAGCTCTCTGCTAGAAGTGTTTTTCAGTGAATGCGTTGCTACATCGACATGCCTGTTAATTCCTCCCAGAAAAAGCTTTGTCTCTTACTTCAGTGTCGTGTTGGTGATTCATAGTCAGAGGGTACTCTTCAATGGAACCTGCAGACCGTTTTGCTATTATTACCACTTCCATACGTCTCCTTTCTCATTTTGTATTTTTTTGCCTTTTCTTATGCAAAAGAGAATTAAAAAGCGGTAACTCTTGATTCCTTGTTGGTATCAGACCGTGTTGCTCATTAGTTAAGAGCATTTAGAATCCCGATCATGTTCACTGACAGATTTGCAAAGCATGCTGTGCATTTCATCGCTCAGGTGTCAATAAAAGCTTTGGATATTGTTAGACCTACCAAAGAGACTTGGGGTACTCGTGAAAATATCCCATTGCTTTCCCAGCAAATTGTGGGTTGTTCTTTTGTGGTTAATTTTTATTCTGTTTTAATATTATATCAACTAGTCTTTATTTTTTTTTGTCTTGTTTGCTTATAGGGTTGTTGTACAGCAAAGTACCAAAAGCCTTGCTAAGTAAAGAGACAATACCTTTTTTCCTTTTCTCGAATCGTTTAGGCAATTTTTCCTGTGAAGAAATGGAGTTAAGTTTATTTGTCCTTGACAAATCCGTAGTCACATACATATAACTTAAAATAATTCTATATTTCTAAGCAATAGTTTTAAAATAACATAGCTGTTAGAGTTTAGAGCAAACTAAAATTCTGCAGTGATAACCTGGATAATGGTATATGGAACAGGGAAAACAAGCACAATATGGTACTCTGTTATTATCCTCTTTCAGGTAGGTTCGTCATTTGTTTGTTTTAAATAGTTTTCTACTTTACCTACTATGATCTTAAATGTCAGCAGTCAGCTTGCTCCTCTGCTTGAAATTTAGACAAAGTGCACAAAACTAAATTAACTTTGAATGTATTTTCAAATGGTTCATAAATTCATTAAATGCACATTCAGTTTGTTCTACAAGTGAGTTAATTGTGTACTTCGGAAACAATTAGAGCATGTTGACAAAGAGATAAAATATACTACATAGAGGGGAAAATCTGCATTTTGATGCCTGAGTGTGTTGCTTTGACTCCATCCTGGCATACAAGTTTTAAGCTTTATCTTTTCAAAGAGAGGTTTAAGATTTTGGCATTTATGAAGCTATAATATTAACTAATGTTTCTGGAAGATTATTATTTTTGTATTTGAAGTTCATGTGCATGTACATCTGAGTGCGGCCATTTCAGAATATTGCTCATGTGAGGGTTCCTGTTTTTCTTGCTTATTGAAAGCAGTGTTTTCTGCGCTTTCTTTCCCTCTTGGGTAGTTCTTACAAAATTAACTCCGGACCGTGTAAACAAACCCAGACAGTAAGAAAAGTGTTGCCTGAGAGGAGCTTTGCTTGACTAACCACAGTTTTGGTGTTACAAATTTTTCTCAAATCTGGTCTCTCTGGAACAGTGGCAACTGCTCTCTTAGACGGGTTACAAACCTGCATGCAAAAAAAATAAATGCACAGAGAATGAGTTTTTCCATTCTCTTAAAACCTTGCTCAGGCTGTACTCATCCCTAATTTTAATGTCTGTCTATGCTACAACTGCCACTTAGTACTATCTCAAGCCAAAACTTTCATAGTTGTCAGGCATGGGCCATAAGCTACAACACTATGCATAGTAGTTCGTAGATAACCTCTTTCTTTGTTATCTTGCAGCCAAGTGTATATTTTTTATGTTCTGTGGTGAGGTTGTGGTTTCTGAAGTCCTGGAAGTAGGAGAGAGGTGTTCTCTGAAATGGTTATCTGCTTGTTTGGCAGCTCTGTTACTTGGTTGAAATGAAGTTTAACTTTGTCCAGGCTCTTGGGCACCTTAGAATACTCTAACTTGACTGTTTTTCCCATGCTGGTTTTTCAGAACCTGTGTTGCTTCCAGTCAATGAAAGCTTTCAGGACCTAGTTGTGATATCATTTGAGGCTTAGACATTAAGTTCTTTGTAGTGGCAGCAGCATGGACCTGTCAGCCTAGTCGGTATTCCCTGTGCAGGCTGAGTGATGCATTCGCCAAGGGTCATGCACTATTTTGAGCAAGCTTGTTCTTGACCACCTCCTTTGTTAGTGGTTTACAGTAATCATCTCTTCATAAACCTCCCAACGGGCAGCTGACTTGCCAACATCAAAACTGTTAACTACTTAAATTTTGGAACAGACATCAGGGTTTCAAAATGCCACTACCAAAACTTGTGCTTGCATTGATATGGACTCCTGCAGACATACTGCAAAGTACTAAGCCTTGTTTCAGTATTAATTTTGACACATTCTGCCATATGAAGTACCTCACAGAAGAAAGACCCAAGAGTTATTCTTGTATTTTACTGATCTGAAGACTGGTTCAGCATTACAGACTTCTGGGACGTGTAGTGCAAACAGCTGTTACTCAGAGTTCTGGTTTAGTCTCAGTTTCCTAATGTAAAGTGATCTTCTCTCTTCATAGGTATGTGCCATGGAACTACCATGAACCCCAGCTGGGCATGTATGATTTTTCTGGTGACAAAGATCTGGAGTATTTCCTGCAGCTTGCTAACGACATTGGTTTGCTGGTTATCCTCCGAGCTGGACCTTATATCTGTGCAGAGTGGGACATGGTACAGCCTTTTGTAACAGTTATCTCATTTCTAGGGTAAATCTAATGCAAGTATTTCTGTCTTAGGGTAGACAAACATACTTGGTGTATCGTTGGACAAAACTCTTGGTTTAGCATATTGAAATCCATATGCCTTTTTACAACGCAGGCTTACTTTGTTTTTTTCATTGGGAGTTATTACATACTTGTAGAAAATCAGTCTTCAGGTCTCAGTATATGTTTTGATAAAAGGCGAAATTCTTATTACATTTTCTAAAAATGGTCACTGAAGTGGTTCCCCTCTCTCTTCCCAGGGAGGTCTTCCTGCATGGCTGTTGGAGAAGAAATCTATCATTCTCAGGTCTTCTGATTCAGGTAGAGGCATCAAAAAGGACTAGCAAAAATACGCTTTTGCATCAAAGCGCCTTGCTGTTTGAGGCCATTACTAGATAATTCATATTTCAGCGTAAGTTATCTTGTGAGTAAAATCTTCCGTACTTTTAGTTAGAAGCATGCATTCAGGAAGAAAATAGAATGAACAAAGTAGGGTAGAAAGTTTCCAAAGTATTGGCTGGTTTCATGAAAATTGGTGCCAAGAGAGAAACCATTGTCACCGTTGAGGAAAGGACAGGTAGCTCTCAGCTTGGAGTTTTTCGGTTTTGCAACAGCCAACTGGCCACTCATCATGGGGATGCTTCCTGGCTGATCAGTTTGCATGTAATTCCGGAAGTAGTTGCAGCGTTCTTATGTGCTACCTGGTCATGGACCAGACATGGAGGGATGAGATGAGACATGAGATTAATGTGGTTATTGGAGTGCATATTAGGGGGAAAAGGTATATATCACATCTGATTTCAGTTCTGCTCATTGCAGGATAAATTATGTATTTAAAAAAACAGTACACATAGCAACATTCAAATTTGTTTTCCTGTTGGAATGTATTAGGACATGTGTGAGACATACTGAAGTCTCTCTGGTGATTTTCATCAGTATTTAAATGTTTTATTTTTTAGTAAACTGTACTGGAAGCTAACGTTTATGAACAAATATAAGAGCACAGCAGTTCATTAAATGCTGTCCTGTTATACTTTACATATTTAGAACACTAGGTAAAAACTTCCCATACATAATTTAAAACAAAAACTAGAAAAAAAGCAGAAAAGTCGCGAAACATTTATACTTTGTGTATTACAGATTACCTGGCAGCGGTAGAGAAATGGATGGGTGTCCTTTTGCCAAAGATGAGGCCTCACCTCTATCAAAATGGAGGTCCAGTCATCATGGTGCAGGTAACTTCCTGAAAATGAAATGAACCCGAGCAGCATGGATGCTTATATTGCCCTTGCAGACACTACATGGATGTTGGGTGGTAATGTCACAGATGTTCCTTAACAGTTCTGGGTTCCTGAAAGCTTCTGATGAAATCCCTTGTCCTAAAGAACTGAATGCACGGTTTCCAGAATTCAGAGGGCGCTCGTCTGCTCTCTGCAAGTTGGTTTCCCAAAACAATAGAAAGCAATAGAGGAAACTTGTGGAGCTTTTATATCTTGAGTTTCATGCTGGTTCTCACATAAATCCAAAATACGTTACAATTGCCTGAAACCCTCTGACGGGAAAAAGGGGAATAAGGATACCTGCAGATAGAAGCAAAAGCAGTACAGAGTACGCCTAAAACTTGTGACAAAAACAGCCTCAAAATTTAGGCTTTTTAGCTCTTGGCACATAACTTAAGCTGTAAATGTTTCAGGACACAATGTTGTGCGTTCATGGTGAGTAGCTTCTCTCATGAACTCCTGGATGTGCAGTGGTGATTGTTCCATACTCTTGATATTTGACCATAACAAAAGCTTTGTTATAATTTTTTTTAAACTCACTGTTTGGCACAGGATGGGATAGGAGACCCTTCTTATAATATGCCAAAGGTCATTGTTCTTGATCAATGTATTATATGTCTATTGAGCAAAATCACTGGGCAAAATTATTCCTTGACAGAAATAAGATGCTTCTAACAGGATTTTCAGAAATAGCCTTCAGGTGTGCATGACATAGGATCTGGAGCTTGCAAGTCTATCCCCTTGGGAAAGGGGCAAGATGCATATGTCTCAGCAGTAGCAGAGTTGTTCTTCTCCCCTCAGTCCTTTGAGTCTGTTGCAGGGCTTTGATGTTCACGTGAGCCACTTGTAGGTGTCTCTTTTCTGGAAGTCAAATTTTGCTGCAGTTTTGGTCATGTCACAACCTATTCTATGGTTTTATTGTTCTGCTTGTGAGGCGGGTCGTAGCTCTCAATTTTTAATAGAGACTGTGTTTTCATTGCTGTTGCTAAGTAGCTGGGGTAAAGATTTTTATGTGGAGGGTGATTTTGTAGGAAAATGACTTACATCCACAAAATGATTGCTCCACTGTAAGATGCAGGCAAGAGGAATGAGTGCTTAGAAGTATTGTCTTCTCTTACTCCTCAGGTCTGGACTTAAAATGCCATTTTCAGCATTGCCATCAAAGGAAGAGGAAGGTTGGATTTGGGCTTTCTGTTTTTGGTATTAGATGCAGACTGAAATTGGTTACTGCTTTACTGACTTGCTTTTACTGTGCAGGTCGAGAATGAGTATGGAAGCTACTTTGCTTGCGACTATGACTATCTGCGTTCCCTTCTGAAGCTCTTTCGCCAACATCTTGGGGATGATGTGGTGCTGTTCACAACTGATGGTGCAACCCAGTTTCACTTGAAATGTGGAGCTCTTCAGGGTCTTTATGCAACTGTGGACTTTGCCCCAGGTTGGAGATCACTGTTTGTTACCAAAACATTCAATATTGTGTGTGTTTGTGCTAGGAATAACTGACTTGACTGCTTGACAAACATGTCTGGTTTGTTTAAATAATAGGCATTTATTTATATTTGAGGTACTCTTAAACATACAAGAATCGCCCACAAGTACCCAATCAGAGAGTCATAATACTTCCTTAATTCATGAAATCCTGAATAAACAATTTACGCTGCTCAGAGTGTGTATCTCCCAAAAATTAGCAGTAATGGCATAGATACCATTGTTTTTTTAAATATATTTTTTGATGCTGGGGTTTTTTTTGTTGTTTTGTTTTTTTAATATCCTTTGTCTGTCCCAGAATCCAGCCCTTGTAGTTCATTTCTTCTGAAGCCAGTGGTTACTGGAAAAAAAATTACTACTGAAGATCATCATTAGAAATGTGCACACTGCCACAGTTTGCTATGATACAGGCCTGAAGAATGGCTAAGCAACCATAGTGTGTTCAGAAAGTGCCCTTTTGATAGAAAAGGAGAGTTAATGATGTAAATGTCCATACACTGCACGGACTTGGCAAAATAGACTTAAGGCACAAGAAACAAACTCCAAGATAGATCTTTCTGTATTTTTTTACGTGTTGCCTCTTTTGTACATTATTTTCTCTTCAGTCAAATATCGCCTTCATTTTCCTTTATTATCCTATTACTTTTAATTGTGAAGTCATTTATGAGATGGTGAGCTATTCATGGAAGTATTTACTGGCCTATGGCCTGAGCCACTAGGAGTGATCAGAAGTGAAACTCCGCTTTAGAGGTTGCCTGGCTTCTGTTCTCCCCCATAGCCTTGGTACTGCAACCCCAGACCTATACTTTCTAATGACTAGGTAGCAATTCTGGCACGTCTCAGACTTTTTGGTGCCAGGATGTCATTCCTGAGAAAAGTTGGGTTTTCTGAAAATGTTTCTCAAAAGCAAAGATATGCATGCATGCATGCATACATGTATGTATGTATTTTAAGTAAGTTGTGCAATTTAAAGAATGGAATCAAAGGTATTTATTGATTCCTCTGTTTTCTGAAGTAACTTTCTTGTCAGGATTTTTGCTAAGTGTTGGAAGGGAAAGAAGACACCAGTTTCAGTAAAATGAAGGACCGAAAAAGTCATGGATGTAGCAACTCAGTTTTATTTCTGTCTGCTTATAGGTGGCAATGTCACAGCAGCTTTCTTAGCTCAAAGGGGCAGTGAACCTACGGGCCCTTTGGTATGTCTTTTCACTTAAATTGCTTGTATCATTTCTAATCCTGCAATGCCTAATAAGAGGGGAGTTTCCAACAGTGTGTTGGACAGTTTTAGGGACATGTTTATAAAGTCATAATTTCCATGTCAGTCAGACAAACTGAATAGAGGAGCTTCTGTGTGTGTGTGTTAAATCCACGTTAACTACTGTTCTGCAAATACTGTTTTAGTCTCAAAAGTTATTGATTTTGTTTGAGTATTTTTCCTTCCTAAGACAAATGTTTACAATGCAGTGGAAACAGTAAGTAAGACTAGATGAGTTACTGAGGTATGCGTGTGGGTGGAAGTTAAAAGCAAAATTAAAAGGGCAGGTTAGAAGTTGCTTCCTGTTTTCAGCTACCCTAGAGGTTTTACACAGCCTACAATGGGATGTGAGATCACTGGAAGCCATTTTGGCAAAGGGAGAAGGCCCGCTGAGGGTACAAGATTATCTCTGTGCTATGAAATTGTTTAGAACACAATCTGAGTATTTGAAAGATTTCTTTTTCATTACATGTAGTCTGCATATGCTATTCTGCAGAGAATGTATTGGTTCCATCATTTATTCGAATGCCAAGCATCTGAAGCACGTTTGTGTTGACAGGTTCCAAGGAAATCCATTCTCTTTGGTACTTAAGCAATTATTTTCAAAGTGTCCCCGTAAAATTATTGAAACAATCCTTTAATTTCTTTGACCAGTAATCTGCTGAAAAGGACTGGCTTACCATGTACTTGACTGTATTTATGGTAGTTAAAGAATGGCTCAAATGAGTCAAGGTGCCTTTTTTCCTTCCCTCTTAGAGTTCGTAACCTTAAATCACATTGCATTCTGTTCTTGTTCTCTCTTCATGTTTTCCCTTCCTCTTTTGCTCTTCCTCCTTTCAGGTTAATTCTGAGTTTTATACTGGATGGTTGGATCACTGGGGGCACCGTCATTCTGTTGTGCCCACACAAACTATAGCTAAAACACTTAATGAAATCCTGGCACGTGGTGCTAACGTTAACCTGTAAGTGTGTGTTCAGTAGAGGTTAATTTGGGGGGATTTTTTTTTCCCAATTCGGCAAAACCTGATTTAAGTGGATGGCATTTTTTTTTCCTTTTTAGGTACATGTTCATAGGTGGGACTAACTTTGCCTATTGGAATGGTAAGGAATTATTTGAATGATACTAATCATGTAGGGGAGCTGGTTATGAATTAGGTAGCAATGTATTCTGTGAAAAAATAAACTATGCCTGCTTTCACATGATAAATAGATGACTGCACTAGCTATTCTCCATCTATTGCCAGCATGTTGTGATAAACCCACATGGTGTTTATCCTGCTAAAGGCTACTTCTGCTTCACTCAGTCCTGTGAAACAGCTGAAAAATGGACAAATATGTTTATCTTCAGAGTATTTCTGAAGACTGTGTAACAGAACAGTGTGAGCTCAGAAGGACTATTCCATCAGGAATAGTTTCTCGATGCCAAATCTCAAATACCAAGGCCTACATGAATCTAAAAATGTAGCAGGTTCTGACTGTGATTGGAAAGAATTCTGGAAGTTGATACCTTTGGAAAAAAACCCAACTCTTCCACTGTTTCTGTTACCTTTTTTTTTTCTCCCCTTCTTTAGGTGCTAATATGCCCTATATGCCACAGCCCACTAGTTATGACTACGATGCTCCACTGAGTGAAGCAGGGGATCTGACAGAAAAATATTTTGCCTTGAGGCAAGTCATTGGTATGGTGAGTGTCCTCAGGACGTGTTTAGAATGGTTCTTTGAAACATCCCTGGTGTACTGCAAATTCTCTTGCTCTTGTGTTGGTATAAGTTGCTTTTCTGCAGGCAAGGGAAGTGAAGTAGAACAAGGTGATTAGGCCAACCTAACTGCTTGTTGTTACAAAAGGGGGCAGATCTTGCGCCTCTCTGGCTATCTTTTCTGTCCCGATGGCTCCCTCATTCCTTTCAGAGGAGGGGATACAGGTGCAAGCCTGACACCAAAAGGATTCAGCTCTGCTTTTTTGCTGCGTTTGTCTTCTTTCAACTGAAGGTCTGTAAGCTGAATTGGCTCACTCAGTCGGATGCGAGCCAGCGTTGGCACAAGGCAGGCAGAGGGAGGCGGGAGGGTTTTGCATGGGAGTGGAGATGGAGGAGGAGTGAACAGAGCTTTTCCCTGGCAGCATCAGCCAGCAATGCAGTCAGCTCGGGCTCATCACTCGATGGCAGCCTGGTATGCACTGCAGCTTAGTACTTTGGCTGGCTGTATCCCAAGTTTCATGCTGTGGTTTTGGGCCTCTGTGAGAAGGAGCATGCTTATCCAAATGAATGCATCTTGGTTTTGTCGTGCCACAAACTGTAGCTAGTGGGTGGGACCAACTTTGCCTTGCTGTAAAAATGCACAGTATCTGTACAAACTGGAGATTAAGAGGAAACATGGAACCTGTATCTGGATTTTGAATAGCGTTGCGTTTGAGGCCGTTCGGATGAAGCTTGAAAACAGATTCCATGGGAATCCCAAGGTTCAGCCTTGTACTTGCTGTCCTGTTGCATGCCAGCAACATTCCTATTCACTAGAAGACTTTTTTTTTGATGGGAGTAGATCTCCCAAAAGTGTATTACACTTTTTCTAGGGTTCAGCACACCTTTACCTCCGTACCTGTGGAAGGCCTGCTGTGGATGATTTTCTTCAATTTCTCCGTTACCCTCAAGCTTTCCCTTAATGAGATACTTTTGATAGCCTGTCAAGGGGAACCTCCTGTCTTGATACAGATTTTCTCACCAGAGAAATTCCCAAACTTCCTGTTTTTGAGTTGTTTTCTTCAAGGCAAGATCCCTATCTGAACTCTAAGTAGTGTTCTAGTGCAGTGAGAGAGCCTTGATAAGATCTGAAGTGTTTAGTATACCTAAGGTGTGTTGGGTCATGGTACAGCTTTTTTTTGGTGTGGTTTGTTTATCTCTTGCCTTCCATATCCATAGGATCTCAGTGAAGTTTTCCTGTGTCTGCTGTGGGTTCTAAACCTGTAATAGTCTGTCTACTCAGCTGCAGTTTGAGGTGGAGCTGATGAAAGAAAATAAGGTTGCCTGTAACTAATGACTGCGTTCAACATTTTAGCTGTGCTACAAGGCTAATACATTGTAATCTTCCTTTACTGTTTCCTCCACTTAGTAAATGTAATAAAGAAGAGTTTCAGTCTATGGCTTCTTTCAATTGTTGACAGCATTCTCTAATTTTTACTATTTAGGCTGAAATTGCCTACTTTTGATGACATCTCTTGGGTGAACATAGGTTTTCTTTTCTTTAAGCATGAATATCTTGATTATTTTCAGATAGAGAGAGGAAGAAATGAACTTGTTACCAGTAATATAAATCAGGCTTTCATCAGTGTATAGTTGAAATTTGACAGGAGGATATTGGGAATTATACTGCTGTGGTCTGTTAAAAAGAAGAAAAAAAATAAACTAAATAAAAAACCACATTGTCTTGGTGCAGAAGCGAGCTTTTGAGCATGAATTTTATGCTGGGTATACCATGTGTGAGGCCAGGAAATCATGCCATGTGCTAAAACTGTCAACCTGAAAGCAAAGTAAAATCTATTAAGAAAAATGCCCTTTCAGCACCTCACGTAATGTAACCCACCAAGTACTCAGAAGTCACTGAATGTGCAGGTTAAGATAGCCTTCACAAGGGCAGTCATTTATGTGTATGTATTCAAATATAGGCTTGATTGCTTGATCACATGGGTATCTTGTCTGCAGAATGTTTTTCTCTATAATCTGCAGACAGGACCATGTTCAGTAAATGAAAGAACAGATGGGAAGAGTGGACATTACAGGAGACAAGTAACGGCAGGAAAGAGAGAAGGGGATGATAAGGAGAGAAGAAGGTTGTAGGCTCAGAAAGGAGGCGGCTAGGGTATGGGGCAGAGAGCTGCTGTCTAGACTTGCTGTTTGTCAAAGGTGTCCGAGAAAGTGGTTGACACCCTTCACCCCTTCTCTCTGCTGATTGCAGGTGGTTCTTCCTAGAGATACAGGGCAAGAAGTAAACAGAAATAGCCGGGCAGTCAGAGTGTTTCTGTGTCGTGTTTCCCTCTGACTGGGCAGTCTTCTAGATCAGGACAAAAGGGAAGCTAATGATGGGACCTCGAGGGTTTGTGGAGCTGTGGAGGAGGCTGAGGTCTCTGGGCCTGCTTCTTAAAAAAACCATTCCAGGCAGTAATGGATTAGCGGGTGGTGGTGGAGTGTAATAACACGGAAAGGAAAGGCACAAGAGGCTACGAGTTCCCAATACGGAAGTGCTGCAAAGGAAAGATCAGGTGGAAATACTGCCTGCAGACTTGGAAAGGTTAACTCAAGCTCCCATGGACTGGGGAGGTCACTGCCTGAGACTTGTAGAAGACCGTAACGCAAGCTCTAGCCACAGGAGGGCTCCAAGTGCGCTGTGATTCTTTGACAGCTTGTTTGTATGCTATGCTTATTAGTACCTCGAGTCGAATAGTTATTAAAAATTGTTTACCACATGTGATCAAGTCAGATGTGTGGTTTTTTTTTTTTAATCTGTCTTAGACTAGATACAGCTGCAATCCTGTAGCACAGTGAGATTATCTACTTTTAGCCAAAGTTCTACTTCTGTAAGTTGTGAAGTGAAAAGTGAGAATTCAGTTAAGGCATGTTTGTATTTTAAGTTTCATGTGTTGTTTTTTTTTTCCTCCTTCCCTTTCTAGTATAAGCGGTTACCAGAAGGTCTTATCCCTCCAACAACACCCAAATTTGCATACGGGAAGGTTCGCTTGCAGAAGGTAAATTAACACCTGTCATACTCTGTGTATCTTTCCATAATGCTGTATATTTGCTTTCTGAAAAAAAATGTTTGAGGGTGTCATGACAGTCTCTAGATGTCTTACAAAGTAAAGAGGAAAACCTTGAAAGCAAACTTTCAGGAGCGAGGGAGCAGAGCTTGGGAGTTAGGAATCATGCCAATGGTGGAAAATGAGAAAATGTATGTTACCTGGACATAAAAAGGAAATTTTTACAATATGCAGTGTGTGCCTGAAGTTTTACTAAACTGAAATTAATATATTATTAACGCAACAGAATCATAGCTGTCTAACTGATGTCTGAGTAATGTAGCTGGGGGAATACTGCTATGAGAGCTATGAGCAAAGAGTGGTTTTGTAGCTGTTGATGCGTCTGGTGTAGAAGCAGCAGGTAGGATATACGTTTCTTAAATACTTCTAGGTGTTTAAATTTTGAATATGGAATATTTTCAGTAAATTTGAAAGTCTTAATCATTAAGTTTCTTGCAAGATTGGTGCAAATCTGTAGCTGACGAGAGAAATTAAGTTAGTAAAAAAAATGAGGGAAAAGCATGCAGAACACAGCCTTGCTATATCCTGTCTGACAACAGCAGCATAACTGATCAGCACGTGAGTAGCTGGGGTTTGTCCATAGCACCATCTTTTTAGGACCAGTGACAATTTTCTGTGAAATACGGCTGAGAACTAGGTTCCTGCAGTGAGCGTAGAGGATGGTTTAAGGGGGGATGGAAGAGACAAGTATGAGCTTGGTTATATTCATTCTACTGGACACAGACAAGTTGTTTTGAGGTAGAGGATTACTGCAGCAGGCGTACTGGATACTGTAAATCGTAATGCTTTGGTTTTTATACTTTGTATTTTTAATTTGGCAGCCACCTTTCTAATCAGCAATGTGTCTGATCTGTTACGCACTGCAGCTGAAGCACTGCAAAACTTGGTAGTGATAAGGCTTTGCAGCCCTTGTCAAGTCATCCCACTCAAGTAGTGGGCAGAAATACTTTACGTATAAAAGTGATTCACCAGTGAAGTTGAAACAGATCTATATCATTTTCAACATCCTTTGTGTATCTTCAGACCTTTTAGGCCAGGGGTTGCCATATGAGGTTTCACTGAACTGGTTTATATTTGGAAGTGACTAACTAGATACCGTTATCAGTACACCCACCACTTCTGCTCCTAGCATAGGTTGCCAGCATATGGGAGCCTAAGCAATCAGATTTTGACTCTCCCATCTTCTCATGGTTCATGGCTCTCAGATAGGGCTGTCCAGTTTCACTAGAATGATGAACTTTCAAGCTTTCAAGAAATGAATGCTGCAGGGTGCCTGGCCCAGACAGCTGTCTTACAAAGGAGTCAGATGAGTAAACTTGCTGAAAAATCACAGCTCTGACATGGTTGTCGCACTGGGAGCCCTGTTCCTGCACCTTCTCACCTTCTACATTTCTTGCTTTTTTGAGAGGGGGTGTTTTACTGTCCACCCAGTAGTTTTAGGAATCCAGATGGCATATCTAAACTGCCAGGTGTGAGGTTCCTTTCATTGCATATACATATACTGCCAGCTGCACTGAATGCCTCTAGAATTGTTTTCTGGGAAGAAGGTTCCTTTTTGCTCTGTGAACCCACTGCTTAACTTCAGCAGCAATTACTCCTCTGCTTACTCACCCTGTGACACAGGATGAGTCTCAAATCACAGAGGGTTTGTACCGTCCCAGTCAAAGCCATCCCTTCCAGCTCTGTGATGCATTCTAGCCCCTGCTGGGACCAGGTCTGGTGCACCAACGAGGTGGAGAGCACCAACAAGGTCCAGTGCAACAAGTATGGAGAAGCCTGATTGTATTTGGGTGAATATCAGAGAGGGAATGTTCTAAATGATAGGACGTAGATTTGGTAGTAGTAAACTTCCCAGCTGTATCATTTGTAGTGACAGTGGTAAAACAGGTACTGTGTGAGGCTTCACTGTGCAGTTGAGGTCCACCAGTCAGTCTGCTATGCAGAGCATTGAATCTGCTGCAGTGAACCAACTGCCTTCACACTTTTGCAGAAAGCAAGAGGGAAAGCAGACTCCAGAGTATTTTCAGGAGTCATATGGTGTGCTTTACAGAGGTGTGTGTAACCAGAGCAGGCTGTTCTCGGTTTGGTATTTTTTTTCCTCGCAAGATATTCTGTGACCGTTCAGTGCTTAAGTACCTGATCAGCTACTCAGGACCTAAACTTCAGGAAAAGTGATCTTTTCTCTTAGCAGTGCTGCCTGTCGTATTTGCTGTTTTTTGGAGGTTTGCAAATAGGTTGCTCCAGATGAAAATAATTGGAGAACCCAGGCTAGTTGGGGAGGGAAAGAAATAAAAAATAGTAAAAAAAAAAATAAGCTCCCCTGCTGTTCCCTAATTAAGCAGTTGTTCATTCTGAGCTATTGAATTATTTTAAATAATTCTCCTGGGTGGGAAAAATGTAATTTATTAAAAGATGCTGACGACACTGACATTGCTGCAGGAAATCAGAAGACGGGAAGGCAGGTGGTGGTGGTGGGGAAAAAGTCTTGTTACATAGATACAAAAAGAGAAGTGTTGAAGATGAGGAGTGGGGGCAGGCAAAGGCAGAACACCGATACATAGGCTCAAGAAATGTGAGCGAGATGACAAAGTTTAGGGGTTGAAGACCCACAATGTGAGGAGCATCCTTTCCAGAAGGAAATGAATGAAGCTTAGTGCCTGCAGTGTGGCTGTGCACGCTTGTCAACAGGTGGTAGTTTCTGGTCACCACCTGGGGGGCCCTGGGGAGTGTTTGTCACAAGGAAATGCCTGTCCCAGTGCTGCAGTCTGCAAACTCAACAGATTCTGGAGGTGTACTCAGTTCTTGGGATGTGGAGAGCTCAAGCAATAACAAGTAGCGGGCAACGCTGATACGAGTTGAGGATAGAGAGGGGTTAAGCAAACAGGATGCTGCCAGTAGTTGATATTGTTCCTGCTGGAGCTGTTTTGTTTGCGTTTTTTTTTTTCATGCTTGATCTTATACTTCGGTTTTGAAGACCTTGCTGTGGAGGATAAAAGAGTATTGCTGTTTTTATTAGTAGTCATCTCTTGTTTTACAAGTTAAGTTTTAAAAAATTCTTGGCAGTATTTGTAATTTTTAAATTGACTGTGAAGTTTCTGTTGTGATACTGATTGTCCAACAAGTAGCAGTCAACAGGAACTTGCAGCAAGAGCAGATCTTGTTTTGGCTTTTTTTTGTATGCACCACTTAGAGTGAAAAGCTGAACAAAAATAATCCATTGAAGTTTCAAAGAAACAAGCTTCTGCCAGCCCAGTCCATAAGTGAATCAGATGTGGTCGACCTGTATAAAGAGCAGAAGCCCCTTTGGCAGCAGGAACTTAAAAAAAAACATCAAACAGGCAAATGAACAAGCTGCTAATACTCGGTTCAGCCGGGCACAAAGCAGCACTCATTGCTGGTTAGTAGCTCATTGGAGTGCCCATGTGTGTCTTAATACTGCTTATGTTTGTTTCTAATTTCTTTCCCCACCTGGGGCCAAGACTACTAGTGCTCATAGGATTGATGTTTAGTTCTATAATTAACTGTGTTGGTGTCTGTGCATAGATACTCATCTCTTGCTTCACAGCTGTTGTACAAGACCCAGCAGTTCAGTCTCTCCTGTGGCCTGCCAAGTCCTGCATATTGCTTTAACATTACTGGCTCCCTTGGAGGAGCATAACATAAAGAATGGAGCACGTACACAGTCCAGAGCATTTGGGGAATTTTACTCTATGAAAGCTGATTGTTACTTTAGGTATAATGCTTAAACTGAAAACATAAGCAAACTACTTTCATCAAGATTTTGCAAGCTATCGTTTTACTGATGGCCTTCTTGCCAGGGTGAACATACTTGGCTATGGACTAGTGAGGGTGACCCAACCTCCAGGTTGTGATGGCATTAGCCTTTGTATACTTGTGGCCTCCTTTTGCCTTCTTGTTTCTAGCTAAAGAGTTGAGATAAGCTCCCTTCAAAAGTCCACTTAGATTTATGTCTACATGCTTGTTTTGTGGTTTAAGCCCAGAAGGCAGCTAAGCACCAGACGGCTGCTTGCTCACTCTCCCCAGTGGGATGGGAGAGAGAATTGGAAAGGTAGAAGTGTGAAAACCTGTGGGTTGAGATAAAGATAGCTTAATAGGTAAAGCAGAAACTGCATGCACAAGTAAAGCAAAAAAAGGAATTTATTCACTACTACCCATCAACAGGCAGGTGTTTATCCATCCCCATCATGTGTAGTCGTTACTTGGGAAGAGAAGACGCCATCACAATTAACATCTCCGCCTTTCCTTCTTCCCCCAGTTTTTTATTGCTGAACATGACATCATATGGCATGGAATATCGCTTTGGTCAGCTGGGCTTGGCTGTCTCAGCTGTGTCCTCTCCCAACTTCTTGTGCACCCCCAACCTACACGCTGGCAGGGGGGGGAGGCGATCCAACCTACACGCTGGCAGGGCGGTGTGAGGAGCAGAAAAGGCCCTGACTCTGTGTGAGCACTGCTCAGCAGCAACCAAAACATCCCTGTGTTACCAACACTGTATTCGGTATGAATCCAAAACATAGCCCCATACTAGCTACTACGAAGAGATTTAACTCCATCCCAGCCAAAACCAGTAGTATACTGAAGAAATAATTGCATGTACATAGATGATCCGTGCTGACTTCTGTCACATACAGCATGTTCTACAAAATGTACACTTAAACGTATAATCTATTATTTCAGCACTGGTGACTTTCATGTATGATCTGCAGAAATTCAATATGTCTGTTACTGAAGTAGCATCAGAAGTTTGTATTGCTGTGAATGTTTTTATACTATACAGTTTTAAGTAATTTTAAATGCCTAATTTTTTTTTGTGTTTTTTTTTTTGCTCAAACATTTGAAAGTAAATCTGCATTTGAGAAATATTTTTGATGTCTTTATATGTAATTACCACTGAACGGTGACAATACTTCTGGTGAAACAGGCTGACATCTTGCATGAAAAATATGAATGCAATTGATTTTTTGAGCTTGTAAGACACTAGGCATATTGTGTGCATCTTGACTAACATAAAATTGATAGTGGACTTTGCAAGAGAATTGTAGATGAGTAGAAAACTCTACAGTCACAAAAAGAAACTGCAGATGGCAACAAAAGGCAATTTAGTTGTACACATGCAAGTCCTTATTCAGCAAGGTACTTATGCATGTGACTAGCCTAAACCTTGCTTCCAGTCTCACTAAAATCAGTCCAGCTGCTTATATGTGACACTGAATTACAGCCTTAGGGTTTCTAAAATAATTTAAGACTAAATAGGGTAAATTGATTGTGGATAACTCTTGATAGAACCAAATTGTATCCTAGCTCAGAATGATTCCAGAGTAACTCACTGGAAATCAGTGGCATTTTCCCTAGCTTGGCTGTAAGCATAATTGAGCAAAACGTAGATAGTATAATTGTTTTGTATTAATTGTCCAGAGAAGTTACGTTTGTTACAGAACTTTTGTGAGAAATTCCTGGGTTAGTTCTAATTAATTAATAAAGAGTCACTTCTTCTGTTTTTATGAATGCATAGCAAATTCAGAACATCTGAATTTTTAAAACATTGCTCCACATGTGGCATGATTCTTTCAGGGTTCATCAGTTCTCTGTACTGCATTGTATTGTCAATATGTGTGTAAGGATGATGTAAAGGCTTTAAATTTCTTTGCTTTCTGGACAGATGCAGCTAGGTGGCTGGATATGCAAGCTGTTATATTTGGATTGAAATTTACTGACCTTCATTTGTCTGCTTTTTCTATGCTGCAGGTGGGCACTGTGGTGGAGGTTCTTGACAGGCTGTCACCTGCTGGACCAGTGAAGAGCACCTACCCATTAACCTTTGTTCAGGTGAAGCAGGTGAGGATTCCTTTAGCAGACACTTTGCAGTAATTTTGTAAAGTTTGTCTGAACAACCCTCTGTGGTATTACTCTAGTTATGTCAAGTGTCTCTCACCTTATCTCAGCACAGAAGTAGTAGTACTGTAAAGGTGTCCAGGATTTTTGCATTGGAGACCTTTCCATATTCTACAGTGCTCCTGTTTTGCACTTGAGGTTTTCCTCTTTCTGTGAATGTAGGTATCAATGCTGTCCAGGCTTTCACCTTTATCTCTCTCCTCTCTGAAGTATTGATTTTCAGGTTCTTAAAAGACTTTTTTTATCCGTCTTTTTCTTCACTATTGATTTTCCTTATTCTGTTTGTTCTTTGCCTCTCCCCACCTGCTATCAGAGTGAGCACAGTGACGGAGACACTGTTTTCTCATGCAAGTCACGGGACCTGGAGATGGGGGAATGCAATCTGTTTGGCACTTCTGTGGGCCTCCTACTTATTTGTAGTCCTTTTCCTACATGTATGGTGAGGCAAGAGAATGCAGTGAGACAAACCTTTGGGAGCAACCTCTTGGAGCTCTTGCAGCCCACTGTCAAGGACATTCACCCCACTGGTTGAGATAGATAGGGAAAATACCTTTCTCTGCATTTTCCTCTGGCTTCTGCTGAATCCCACTCTTCCCTATGTTCCCTCTCTATCAGTCTTTGCATCAGTTTTGATGGCTGTCTATTTCTTCCCTCGCAGTCAAAGATATTTCCCTTCCTGC